CCGGCCCTGCGCCGCCTCGCACCCTCACGCAGCGCTGCCCAGGCCGCCGGAGCCCGCGCGCCAGGGGACTCGGCGAGCGCGGTGGAAGAGCTTTCGGCGGTCGAGCCGGGAGCTCTCCGGGATCCTGCGAAGCAGCGGCGGCCCGCCCCCGGCTCAGCGCCCAGAGCCTCAGCGCCCCGCCCATTCCGGGCGGGTGGGGGCGGGGCGCCACGGTCGGCCCCGCCTCTGGGGGGGGAAGCCAGGGGGCGGGCCGAGTGCGGGTCCCCGCCGTTCCCCTGCGCAGTGCGCCCGCCCGGCCGGCGCCCGGCCAGAGGCGCGTGTGCGCCCTGGGCCCGCCCACCGACATATCCGATTGGACCTTTCCGGGGGTGTGCGGGAGGGGCGGGGCACGTGCGGGGGGAGCCGCAGAGATGGTACGGTCCATCCTTTGGGTTTCCTTCCCCACCCCCCTGGCCGTTCAAGTTTCTGCGCCGGGAGGACGCGGTCGCGGCCAATCCCCTCGCTGCAGGGCGCTTTTAAAATGCAGGTAGGGCTGCGAAGGGGGGTGGGGGTGGGAAAGGTAGGGCAGGGCTACCCTTAAAGGGGACGTACGGCCCGGGGCGCCGAGCCCCTTCCCCGCGCACGTCCCTGCCTCTGCCTTCCAATAAACAAATGCCCAAAATCGCGACGACGCGTCCCCTCCTCCCTCCCGGGGGCAACCGAGTTCAGTGCTAACTGAGATACGACGAACAATGGTACTCTGACATGAGGGTCTTCCTCCCTGCGGCAGGCAGCTCTTTGTCCCCTTCCCTGCCCCCGGGCTACTCGCCAGAGCGCGCAGCGTGACCACTGCACACTCAGGGCTGCGATGCGACATCTGGGCACGCGGATGCTGAGTCCTGGAGTATGACTGTGCCCTCGACCCAATCCCATTGGGGGCGGCCCCAGAACACGCCCCCCTCCCGGGAGCTTGCAACTCCACTCCCGCCCAGCGGCCGGCAAATGCCCTGGCCTCGGGGCTTTGTGAGGTTCTCGCTACCCGAGACCCCAAAGCAGGAGGTCACCCTCTGAGGCCTTAACGGGGAGCACCGAGTTGGTCCATGCAATCTCATGGGGACCCAGGCTCTCCCACGGCATGTGAGGTCTCCTGGTCCTGAGGTTCCCGAAGCGCAGTGAAGCGCATCCACAGCGAGTCTGGCGGAGGGCGTCCCTCCGCGGAGACCCGCAACGAGATCCAGCCCGCGCACGAGACCGTGAATGGTTCCCGGCTTGGAACGTGCGCCCACGCAGCCTTTCAAGTCCCCGCTCCCAGTCACTCAACCATTTATTCAGCAACTGTGTGCAGGGTGAATCCGGCAGGCGAGGTCTCTGAGGAGGACGGGAGGGAGGGAGAGAAAATCAGGCAGAAAAGCTTGAGAATAAAGCCTGTGCCGGGGAATTAAGACAGGGAGCTGCCACAGAGAAATCATATTTGACTCTAGATCCCGCGGTTAGATTAGAGAGGCCCTCCTGGGCGGTGCGGCTAAGCTATCTCTGCGGCAAGAAGGACAAAGATAAGAGGGAAGGGCATTCCGATGTGTGTTCAAGAAAGGTCAGTGTAGCTGGGGGGAGGGCCGGAGAAGCAGGGTGGGAGGTGTGGTCAAAGGTGGGTGCTGGAGCTGACTGATCAGGCGCAATTAGGAAGAACAGTGTCAGGATTTATTTCTTCATAGACTCAGTCTGGTCCATAAATGGAGATGGGATTGGAAAAGCCGGAGGGTGTCCAGATTCAGCCCTCATCCGCCACCCCAAACACCTGCTATGTCCAGGTAGAGGTGGAGCTGCCAGGGTCAGGCCCCAAGGCTCCTGAGGGCTACCAGACCCACATAAGCCTCTTCCGGGGCACGGGGTTTGGCCTCATGGCAGGAACACAGTGCCCAGCAGGCCCAGACCAGACCAGCAGAGTTGAGATTTGGACAGGGAGGGGGTGATTGCATCGCAGTCCTAGGAGGAGGCTGCATGAAGCTGCTCGTGCAGAGTGAAGGTGGAAGAGAGGACAAAAGGTAAATTAAGCATCTAACTAAGGCCAGTTTACCAGGGAAGCTGAGTTTGTACTGACCCAGTTGGTTCTGGTGACCTGCGTTCAGTCCCCGCCCTCTAGAACTGGCTGCTTCAACTGAACTCTCTGAAAGTAAAGCCGTCCCCAGTCCAGATGGGGTCTGTGTGCATCTTCTATAGACTGGGCAGTCCCAGAGCTCTAATGTCCTCCCACAGAGCAAAACAAACTGTTCCTGAACACATGCTCACATGCTTGAGGAAGGGTTTCCGGCTCCCCGCACCACAACTGGACATGCTTGGGCTGGGCAGGACAGGACAACAGGAGGCAAGGATATACAAACAAACAGGGCCCCCTCCCTGTGGCCCCACACCCTGGAGGTCCAGAAAGCAGTGCAGGACCCTGAACAACAATGTCCTGCAGTTGTTGTTGTTGTTAGGTGCCATCGAGTCGGCACTGACCCATAGTGACCTCATGTACAGCAGAACGAAACACTGCCCAATCTTGGGCCAACCTCACTACTGTTACCACACTTGAGACCATCGATGCTGCCACTTAGCCAGTCCATCTCGTTGGGGGTCTTCCTCTTTTTCTCTGACCCTCCACCTTCCCAAACACGATATCCCTCTCCAGCGACTGGTCCCTCCTGACAATATGTCCGAAGTATGAGAGATGAAGTTTGGCCATCCTGGCTGCCAAGGAGCACTCTGGCTGCACTTCTTCCAAAATGGATCTATTGGTTCTTTTGGCAGCAGCATTTTCAACATTCTCCTCCAACACCATAACTCAACAGCATCAATTCTTCTACGATCTTCTTTATTCACTGTCCAGCTTTCGCATGCATATGAGGTCATTTGAAAATACCATGGTTTGGGTCAGGCGTACCTTGTTGTTGTTGTTGTTGTCGGGTGCCATCGAGTCGGAACCGACTCATAGCGACCCCATGCACAGTAGAACGAAACAATGCTCTATCCTGGGCCAACCTCACCACCGCTGCCACCCCCGAGTCCATCAATGATGCCACCTGGCCAATCCATCTCGTTGGGGGTCTTCCTCTTTTTCTCTGACCCTCCACCCTACCCAACATGACATCCTTCTCCAACGATTGTTTCCTCCGGACTACATGTCCAAAGTAGGAGAGACGAAGCTTAGCCATCCTGGCCTCCAAGGAGCACTCTGGCTGCACTTCTTCCAAAACAGATCTATTGGTTCTTTTGGCAGTCCATGGCACCCTCAGTATTCTCCTCCAACACCACAACTCAAAGGCATCAATTCTTCTACGATCTTCCTTATTCACTGTCCAGCTTTCGCATCCATATGAGGCTATTGAAAACACAATGGCCTGGGTCAGGCGCACCCTAGTCCTCAAGCTGACATCTCTGCTCTTCAATACTTTAAAAAGTTCCTGTGCAGCAGATTTGCCCAGTGCAATACGTCATCTGATCTCTTGACTGCTACTTCCGTGAGTGTTGATAGTTGATCCAAGAAGAATGAAGTCCTTGACAACTTCAATCTTTTCTCCATTGATAAGAATGTTGTTTATTGGTCCTGCATTTTAGTCTCTTGGTTGTGACAAGCTTTGCTGGACCCATTTCAATGGGAAAACCAAATCTTGGATCCCAACACCATGATTCTCAGCCCAACATGCCCAGTAGTTGTGGGTCTCTCTTAAAAAGTCAAGACACTCCCCCACCAAGTTGTTTTTTCCAGAATCTTCCAATGATGTATGTCTCTTGGAAACCCTATGTTGTTGTTAAGGTAAGTCCCGTCCAGATGATTCTAACTCATAATGATCCTATGTAGGTTTTCTGAGGTGGGTTTGAGCTGCAGATCTTACAGTTAACTGTTCAGCGCTTATCTTACAGTACCACACCAAGACCCCTGGAAACCCTATACAGGGTCACTCAATGGGACTGATGGAGGGGCAGAGTTAACCACATTCCTGAGCTATGGTCCAGGTACCATGAGGGATGATAGTCAGTGTGATTACCCCCTCCCTGCCCCACCTCAGGTGACCAGCTCTGGGACACTGGGAAGACGGTGTGCTCTGAGCTCTCTTCCCTGCCCCTCATCTGGAAGGAGCCAGACATTCAGGACGTCACCTTGCACAGCAGAAAGGCAACAAAAGATCAGGCCAATATTGACAGCACTTTCCATGAATCCACTGGATGCTCACCACAGCCTGGGAGGTAGGCACCCTTGAAGCCCATTTTACAGAGCAGGAAACTGAGGTCCACACAACTGCGGTACAATGGATTACTTGTATAGGGTTCTTCTTTCCATGCTCTTGTAACTCCCACCAAATCACTAGGTGGGTGCAAGTGAGTGCTTGTGGCCTACCAAGGCATAGGAATGTTGTTAAGTGCTACTGACCGTGTTTCTGAGGAGTGGTTGGTGAGTTTGAATTGCCAACCTGACCTTTCGGTCCAGTGCATTATCCTACGGTGCCACACCAGGGCACCGTTAAGTTGTTAGGTGCTGTCAAGTCTATTTCAACTCATAGCAACCCTGTATAATAGGGTTTCCAAGGAGCAGTTGGTGGATTTGAAATGCCAACCTTGTGGTTAGCAGTCTGGTGCATATCCTAAGGTGCCACACCAGGGCTAGTATTGTTGCTGTTGTTAGGTGCCACTGTGTCGGCACTGATTCATAGTGACCCTATGCACAGCAGAACAAAACACTGCCTGATCCTGGGCCAACCTCACTACCGTTGCCACACTTGAGTCCATTGATGATGCCACTTGGCCAATCCATCTTGCTGGGGGTCTTCCTCTTTTTCTCTGACCCTCCACCTTACCAAACATGATATCCTTCTCCAGTGACTGATCCTTCCTTACAATATGTCC